TTTGTTGTCTCAACTAAATATATTTTTCTGCTTTGTTCTATGGACCAAATGATTTTGTTCTTAGACTTCATGTATAAAAATTTAGCATTTTACTTATTTTATCCATAAAAGTTGCATAATAACGAAATATTATTTTACATTAATTAAAATAATGCCCAATGCTCCCTGTCTTGTCTTTCTGTGCACTAAAATTTAGATTTTATATATCGAGAAAAAATTATAGTATTTTTAGAACAAAATTCATATGGTTAAAGGTATTTTTGGTTGCTATAACAAAAGTATTGCGTTATACGAACAAATGGTAATATCAAACAAGATATTTGTTTACAGGAACTAAACAGTTTTGTCGGGTATATTTTAACCGAATTCTTTTGTTGTTACAACAAAATTTTCATTCACGCAACGATACATTTTTCCTAGTGTAGGTAGGTAGGTAGGTAGATAGGTTCGTTTTTAAGGGACGATAACGCGCTTGGGAGGGATGTAACGAGCAGGCAGGCTGCGAGGGCGCGTACGCGGGGTTGAACGAAAGCTGCCGGACGTTGTTGCTCCTTTCTAAGTGCCAGCGCGAGCGGCGCTAGCGCTTCGTACGCGTTTGTGGGCATCGAGTGCTAATTAGTCGAAAACTGATGGCGGAGACTGAAGGGAGAATTAATACGGCGCTCCGGGGATCTTCGTTTTCGACTGATTGGAAATTGCCCCGCCATTGAGGAGGAGGATCGCGCGAATGAACGGCCGTTGGGTCGACCCAACCGTGCGGCTCCACCGTTTCGTATCGGGCTACAACGTGCGATGACTGATTATCGATCAACGTGTCAAGAGGGGGATATAGAGGGCTTCCTTTGCGAAACGTTACAGACAAGATTTGCGACAAGTCCGCGCGTGGTGCGACGTCACGTAACGCCACAGCGAACACCCCGTGACACCTTTCGCGAAGGATCACGCGAATCGCCAGCAGTCGGCTCAAGTGCACAGCGTGTCGGATGGCTAATTATCGATCAGCGTGCCGAAGAGAGCTAGCGAGAAGCTCGCTCTTCGGCGAGAGCGCTGCGGGAAAATACGACAATGCAGCCGTAGCGCGATAACACGCGGCGCAATGCCGGATATCCCGGATGACACATGCTGCTTTTGCCAAGACACAAGCGGCGGAATTTTCCAGTAAGGTTACTCGCGATGTTGTTTACTCGAACATGAACTTAAGCTCTCAAAGTGCGCCGCGCCACGTCGCGCCGCGCGCTACAATGTAAATCCTGGAAGCATGCTGGCAGGTGAACAGCGCATACCGAGGAATCCGACCGCAAACCTTAATTGCGGAGACATCGTCGTCGTGAAGCAGAGAACGCCGAGGCGGACGAGAAAGATGACGTCGAGCCTCCCGCGGGTGCAAGATGGAGCCGGGACGCGAGACAGAGAGAGAGAGAGAGAGAGAGAGAGAGAGAGAGAGAGAGAGAGAGAGAGAGAGATGGGCTCTCATCGCCGAGGCCGAGGTGCACCCACCCCGCTCCCCGGTGACACGCGGCAGGACAAGCCCTAAATCACGCCTGCTGTTTCGCAGTTTGCCGCAGTTTTACCTCGCGCCGAGGGTGCGTGTGCTCTCCGTCTTCCGTCGTCTTAGCGCCGTAAATCCGCCGCGCCGCCGGCCCGTGTACATTATACGTGACGTATCGTCGCGAATATAAAGGCGGCAAGATTGCGGCGGCGAAGCGCGATCGATGAGCGGATAAAGGCGAATTTATCGCGCGGCCGCGCGCAGCGCGACGTTCGCCGCGACGCGGCGGTTCACCTTCGGATTCGATGCGAGATCGATCATGCGCGACTGTACCCCCATTGTATACGGGCTTTCCGCATTAATACTTCAGCCGGTGCGCGCGATTTGTCTTTGCCCGGCTCGGTATCGGTTTACACGCTCTCGCACAATGGCGATACACCGCTCGCCGCTTTTATGCGATTTAATGTGTCCCCCTTTGCGGACCCCCCGTCGCCCCCGTCGCATGCCCGCCCGCCCAACGAGGAGAAAATGATGTGCGATCCACTTCGCTTCGCTTCGTAAATCAGAAAGAGAAAAGAGAGAGGGAGGGAGCCGGGGGCTATTAGCCAGTCGGCGCATAACTGTTCGTGTAAACTGTTTTATATCGCGCTCTCGATACCATCTCTCCTCGGCAAGTCCGGACTCGTAACATTGTTACGAGTCCGCATGCGACCCCGCGGTCATTAGACCACGTCGCCCCGCATTATCGCAGCAACATGCGTCCGGCTAATGGATTCTTTCGCCGCGTCGCGAGGCGACTCCACCGCCCTCGCTCTGTCATGCGCCATTCGGCGCGCTCTCGGTGAACGTCGATCTCGTCCGGCTCATGAAAGCACGAATCTCGCACGAATTAGCCGAGACCTGCGACGTGCGAGTGAGCGCCGCTACATAACACACAGCTACACGCGGAATCTCGATGGGAATAAAAGGCCGGCGTAACGGTTATCCTCGCAGACGCGCCACGGCCAGCCGTGGTAGGTATGGGCTTCCTCCTCTCTCCCACCTCCGAGCCCTCCTCCTTTTGCTTTAAGCCACCTACGGATCGTTCATCATACCGGTAATGCATCTACCACCTCGCGTTTCTCCTGGTCTCTTTTCCGTCGCGAAAGCGGGGGATGATCTTCGACGCGAACGGGAGAGCCGCGACCAATGCCGCCCCCGCGTCCCTCTTCGCCTCTCTCAGCTTGCCATATCCAGCGTTTCCCTGACACCCTACCTGATACACCCCCGAAGGAGCTCTCTCTGTCTCCCCCTCTCTCACTCTCTCTCTCTCTCTCCCTCTCCCTCTCCCTCTCTGCGAGCTATGCAACTCCCGGTAATGCGCGCATCAATAACCTATCATATCCAACCTTCTGGATGCGGTGGTGGCGTGCATCAAGCTCGAGCCCCCCCTACGTCCCTCCCGCTGCTCCGCCACCCCTCAATCGCGTTCGCCCCTACGATCTCAGACGCGTCGATCTCTACGAGCTTGCAGCTCGAGTAGACGCGGGTATCTAGATACTTCTCCTGAGGGTCTTTACTATGCATACTCCTTGGAACGGATGTTATGTAAATCGCGGCTCGAAAATCGTTTTCTGATAGCGACTCGGAAAAAAGAAGAAACTCGCAGGCCCGATTTCGCAGACCAGATTTCGAGACGTGTCGCACGCGTGTAAAATCAGCGGAATCGCGGCCGCGGTTCGATCACCGACACGATTTCGGGACGCAACTTTGCGAACTCGCGGCTCGCGGCTGCAGGAAAGAGGAGGAGACACCGAGGACCGCGTCGTGGACCGTGGAAGGAAGGATCGTCTGTAATTTTTGGCGCGAGCTTCAGCGCGCATTCGTCTTGCCCGATGGGAGGATTCTTCCGGTGGAGAACAAGTCCTCTCGCCCTCAAGTGGAAACGGATACGTTCCGAAAGTCGCGCGCGCGCGCGCGCGAAAAATTACGGCCAACAAAATTACGGGCTTCCCGCGCCCGCGAGCGTGCAACGCGAGGCTTGATGGCGTTTCCGCGTATGCGAATGGGATGCATCGCGTAAAACAGCATCGGACGATTCGGTAGATTGCGAGACAATAAATCGGCACAATGACGCTAAATAGTCATTGTGCCAGACGGACACGGCTCGCGCTTGTCCACGGCGCGGCGCGTTTACGCGGCCGTTCCATTCGGCGAAATATGTAAAGACAAACAGCGCGCGACAGAAGAAGCGCTTTTGTTACGCGCTAATGGAGCGGTCGCTCGCTTCTCTTTGTCTCGGGGCGACGCTCTATTAAAGTGCCATTTCGCGACGCAACGGGGACCACGACGCATTTACAATTTCGTCATGGTCGAGGAATCGCCGAAAAATGGCCGCGTCGTCGTCGTCGCAAAAACGGAGAGAGGACGCGGCCGCCGGACGCGTTTCGGCGCTTCCGCGGATAACCGACGCGGCCGCCGTGCACGAGGCGAATATTATTTTCGAGGACATGCATCTACGGCCGCAAAATTGCCAATTTTATCACTCGCTTTCGCAGTCGGGGCTGGGAGCGTATCCGCTGCGATATAACTAGCGCGCGCGCGCAAGAGCCGTTGACGTCGATCGAAAATTTGCAGCGCGGCTCTTCTTCGTGCTCTTTCGCGCGCGCAAAAACGGACCACTGCAACGGTGGTGCCAAAAAATCGTCTCAGCGCGAAACATTCGACGGTACGATGATGCCGCGCCGCTTGTCGCTGCCGCTCGACACGCGTCTAATTTGAGATCGCCGACCACGGTGTGATATTTATATTCAAGCACGAGGTTATGAAGACGACCGAAGAAGGTCTCGTCCTGCGACCGCGGAGAGCCGTCTCTTTCTCTCTCTCTCTCTCTCTCTCTCTCTCTCTCTCTCTCTCTATCGTGACGCTCAACGGGGCGAGCTTAGATTTATACGATTCTAATTGAGTGAGGCGCACGCGCGCGCACGGCCGACAGATATTACGGATATCCTCGCATCGGGCTGGGATTCTGCGCGTCCCGGAAACGTGATATTGGATTGGAGATATTGGATTACAGGTATAGATGCCGTTTTTGCGACCGATATGGAGCGCTCTCGTGTTACGCGACGCGCACCCTCTCCGTGAGAGACACATCAGCGGAGAGAAAAGAGTTCCCTCTTGGCGAGCGATACCGACCCGTTATCTTGCGGGGGGGGGAGGGGGGGCGCGAAAAATTTCTGTCGTTGATACACTTTCTCCAGCTTCTTTTCTCCTTTTTTGCTTTCTTTTTCGTCAATTATGCACGCGAGAGAGGAGACCGTCTTCCTCTCGTCTGCGAATAAGCTCAAACGCCGTTAAGACAGAGGAACAAATTCGTCTCGAGTAGCGACTAATGTTCCGCAGTGCCAAGAAATTCATCGTTAATTGTACGTACTGCATCTCGACGCGGGGTATCGCGGGGAATCGCGGGGAATCGCGTGACGTCCTCCCGGCCCGTTTTCGCCGAACAGCGAGAAGATAAAGAGGTACTTACGTTATGCGTCCTGAGAACCATTTCTCTGTTCACTGGGTCGACCTCGCTGCGTTCGCTGGCGTAACACAAGTTCGCGTAGCCGATTAACTGTAAAAAGAAAGAGGAAACGTGCGCTCGCATAATAAGCCTCGGCATCGATGTAAAAGTTTCGCTCTCGCTCTCGCTCTCGCTCTCGCTCTCGCTCTCTCTCTCTCTCTCTCTCTCTCTCTCTCTCTCTCTCTCTCTCTCTCTCTCTCTCTCTCTCTCTCTCTCTCATAAAAAGGAAGAAAAAAAAAAGAAGTCCGCACCATTTAAATGTAGTTTCAACGAGAACTGGCTGGCAAACTGCTAAAAACCGATTCGACCACCGATAAAAATCTCGGAAGTGCTATAGACAAGTACTTCCGGTTTCAAACTTTCCGCATTGAATTCGACGATAAAGCCTTCCAAACTTGAATGGCATGTTTCAGTCTTCGAGAGATACTTGGGCTCGAATTTCGCGATTTTTTAAAGCGTGCTCGTAGGCGCGGAGAGCGTAGCGCGAGGGGAGAAATGCGCGCGCGCGCGCGCGCGCGCCGCGTACAGCTTACATAATCGCGCGGTAATTCGCGAATCATTTATCAATGCGCGATATCGTAGATGCGGTAAAATTAGCGCGGAAGTGATACGCGACATGCGCGGTTATTCACAGAGCCGCGCGCATTCAATTCCGGAATGTCATTTTACGTAGCTCAATAATCCATCATATGCAAACATCCTACATTATAATAAATTATAATCAATCTCCCTCCCTCACCCCGCCCGCGCTCCCCTCCCTCTCCCCTCCTCGCCGCCTCGTCCCGCACGTGCGTAGCTATTCTGCTAGCTATTATTGATCCGTTAATAAGATATCATTTGCAGAAACTGGTGCCGTGGCGCATTCGCGCTCAATATCGGAAAGGTAACAACGGACCTTTATGGAAATAAGCCATGCGCCCACACATATCAGCATGTTAATACGCATACAAAGCGAACTAAACAAACAGGTGATATTGCGCGAACAGCACTGAACACTGCGGAGAGAGCGATAAGCGGCTATTGGTCCCCTATATCAGAAGGCGGATGGTAATTAATTTTATTGATCGCCCATAACGACGGTCATGCATTATTCTACGCGGGTGTATGAAAAGCAAACGAGTGCGGCGGCGGCGATTTGCGATAGCATTTATTCAATCAGCCGCGCGAAGATCTCGACGCTCCGTAAAACTGCTAACTATGAAATCATAAATCATGGCGGAACTAGCGCGCTTCTTTCGAGAGGAAGCTGCTGGACTCCGGAGAGAATTGACCGCAAAATGCGATCGGCACGAGTGAAAGAGAGAGAGAGAGAGAGGGAGGGGGGAGACAGAGAGACAGTGTTATCTCTCAGTGACAAACGGCGCAGGGCGAGATCGCGATCGACCGGGCCGTTCGATTTTACGTTTCGCCGAAAATCCCGGCGACACGCGCGTAAACAAGCGACTATAACGAGCGGACTCACCCCCCCCCCGCGCGGGCGGGGATGAAAATCGATCCAACAATGAAATACGGGTAAATGGTGGAAATTAATCAGCGGCGATAAATAATTCGCAAGCGTAGCTTGCCCGTCGCGATAGGCTGAGCCGGCCATCTTGACGGAGAAGAAATAGAACGGCTCAAGGACTCGCCATAAGTTTCGCGCAACGGCGCGATATTAATAACAAATTAGCATGAGTAATTAGGTAATTAGAAAGACGCTAATTGGACCGGCATGCTAAGCACACTTTAATTATTGTTCCTCGCGATTAATTATGCATATTCTAATTAGCCGCCCGTATAAACCAGCCTGCTTATACGACGGCGGCCGGCGCTGGCAATTCGAGCGTTTCGGACGAATAGCCGCGAACTTTTCTCGCATGCTTTTTCGCCGGAGCGCGTTTCGTTGTCGAGTGCATCCGCTAATTACTCGGAACGGCACACGCTGGCAGGTGCAACATCGAGGCGCCCCGAGAACGGCACACCGCGCCGGCGAAAGAGAGAGCGTCGCGCGCGCGCGACCGAAACGATCCTTCGCACTTTTCCACCCGTTAAGTAATTTCGAGCGTACCTAAATACTGCAACTTTTACCTTTCTACGGCAACATTTATACAGAGTGCCCGGGCAATACGACTGCTCCGAGACTCGGAGCAGCACATCGCCAACCCGGCGGAGGGAGGGAGGGGGGGGGTGGGGGTGGGGGTGGTGCGCGTTATATTTGCAGCGCACGTTGCCTCTTTAGAAGCGTCGAACGTTTCGCCTCACGTCGCTGTCTCGGAACCTCCCTCGCGCCTCGACGCGGCACGTATTGATTGACGCGTCGAACAATTCGCAAAATCGACCACCTCCATCCCCTGCTATCGTGTGTCTAATCGACGGTTTCCGCGATTTCGTCGCTCAATGGATTATTCACCACCGCGCGATGCAAAAATCGAAATCGTTCGAAAGAGACGACGCGACGCGGCGATGAAGCGCGCGGTCGTCGACCTCGCACGGCTGTCTCGTCGCTTCAAACGAAGAGGCTCGGGATTCCTCTCCTCCTTTTCTCTCCTTCTCTTTATAAATCAATTTCTTACACGCGTCTTTATCGCCGATCGCTCCGGAACGATCAGCTTGCTGTCGGCTGTGCCATCGCTCCTCGGACACCCTATGTATGACGTTGTGAGCTGAGCCATTCGAGCGAGCGGCTGCACAACGAAGCGGCCCGGCGAAATGGCCGAGCTTATAGAAAATCCGACGAGAGGGCCGCGTGTGCGCGCGAGAGAGAGAGAGAGAGAGAGAGAGAGAGAGAGAGAGAGAGAAAGAGAGGAGGGAAGGGGGAGAGAAAGAGAGAGATTCGACGCCCCGGAATCTCCAGTATGCCGTCGCAGACACCAGGGGATAGCGAAGGATGAGAGCGCAGGCTGCTGGGTATTCCAGAAGGCGGGTGTCTGGCTGGACGATTGCCAAACGGCGTAACATCGAGCGCACTCATTATGAAAGTTGATGCCGGTACGGATGTTGTTTTGCAATTCCCCGGCTCCCGGCACCTTCTTTTTGCGCACGTTTGTCGAAAGTTTCGAATTTCCGGATCTACGCGATCTCCGCCGCGCGCGGCACGCTGGCGGAGATTGCTAGCTATCGGCGGGGGGGGGGGGGAGGGGGCTCGGATGGCGCGCGAGGGGGTTTTTGCCGATGCGCCACGGGCTACGTCAGAAAGAGGTGAATGATTCTGTTACGCGCCGCTTCATGGATTGATTTCTTGTCGCCCGCCCGGATATCAGCGCAACATCAATTTCGCCGAGCAAACGACCATGAAAAAGTCACGCCGATAAGAAGGAACTTGGGCGAAAGGTGCGAAATTGCTCGATGATAGGGGCGATGGACGGAAGGAGGGGAGGAAGGAAGGAGGGAAGAGCTCCTGCAGCCCGAGCTGCCAAAAATCTGCAGGAATCTACGACGTCGTCGTGCTTCCTAATAAAATTGGCACATGACACACCGCTGTGACTGGCGGCTCCGCTCACTCTGCGCGGAAGAAAGCTCGGAAGACTTTCGGCCGGTGTATACGCGTGGAGAAATTTTCGAGGAGACAAGAAACATGGAGATTTTTCGACGGAAACAAGGAAACAGGGAGTACCCGCGCACTCGAAGCCAAGTTGTACGACACGAAGTAGCTTCGGCTTCGTGGAAGAAAATAGAACTCGTCGAGCAGTCTCGCGGAGCACTTTGTATCCTGACCCGAAAATATGGTCGCGTGTCGCGTGGATTGCCGATCGTCCCACGCAAGAGTTCGCTGACGAGTCAAACGTCAAGCGGCATGCCGATTACGTAACTGCATGATGGCTAATCATTTCACAACGTTTACCGCTACATCCGAAGCGATTTCTCCCGCCTCGCTGCGCCGTTACCGCGAAATTTCACCCGGGGGAAAGGGAGGCGCGGGGAGCCAATATAATACGCATCTAATTTCATTAATTCTAAAGTCAAAGCAACCCGGAAACATACATCGCTAATAGGATTAGACATCTAAATACCAAGAACGGTATTCACAGAGACATTCAACTTGAGGAACATATGGAAGCAGTAGTGCAATTTCAAAGTTTCGCCCCCGATGCAGGAAGGTTATTTCCTGGAGCAATTCGAGTCAAAAGCCTGGGAGTTATTGCAGGTAACTTCTGTATAGGCGCGAAAGGCGCGGCGTGTCATACCTGAGCCCAAGGACCAAGAGAGAGAACAACTATACATATTTATAGTTATCTATTATAAGTTACATCTTCCTCTCCTTCGTCGGATGCACACAGCAACGTGCAGTTACGCGACTTTGCGCCGCGCGAGAGGCGGGAGAAATAAATTAATAAAGCTCGCGTCGAGTAATCGACGCGAGTTGATAACTTATTCAGGCGTCCCTGGCAGCCAACATGAAGGCGTAAAGGTCTTGAGAAGGTCGTTCCGATAAATCCGTACGTGAATGAAGCGGCTTTACTCGTGTTCCGCGAGAGTGCGCCGTGAAAATCGATAACCCGAGCTGTGGATAAGTTCCCGCAAGGTTACCGTCAGCCCGGTGCGCGCACCTCGACCAATAAAGTCGGCTTTGCCTTGAACAGCGACCTTGAACGGCACCAGGCCGATATACACGTGACTGAACGACGGCGAACGTAGCGCGACATTCTTTAAAATGGCATTGGATGGTCAACACACATGACAATTCTCCACCACAATGTCGTGGAGGCGGTCATGAAGGAAGATTCCATGTTGTCATACGTTGTGCAGCCAGTAATTCCTGCTCATTAGTCATCAAATAGCACGATTAAGCCTGACTGACTACCAATGAGTCAATTTCAACCTAGAAGAGATTTTCTGTTACAGTGCTGTGCACGAGCCATTGAAACTCAATTTTGCATGATCTCATGGAGTAAAAAGTAACACATCATCAAATAGAAAGCACGAGAAACTTTTATCAGATAATCTTTAGAGTACGATGAACATTCGATCGTGAGAAAATATCTCGACATACAATGGAGAAAATATTTATGAGCACGATTGGATTGTTGCAGGATATTCTTGTGAGAAAAATGAGAAAGCTGTCGTCTGCATCTACCAAGCGACTGAAGGAGAAAACCCATGCCAGTATTGAGAAAACGTGTCATCTCATATATCAAACGCATTATCGTGATAAGATACTACAGTATTCCACGATAAAGTATTTCCATCCATGATGAGGCATTCATACAAAGCACGCTCTACTTTTAAGTAAGCTCCATTGACATTCATAAAGTCACGTGCGAAACGAATATCACGTGTGTCATGATGTCAACAAAAACTCCAAACAGACGTGCGAAGATTCGACTAAAAGGAAAAGAATGGTAAAAGCAAACTCTGCAGCCAAACTCAAGCGTGGCAGAATAATATAAGTGAAAGTTAATAATTTTATGATTTCCATTGTACCAATTAGTAGAATATCCAGATGGAATCCATAAATTTAAGTGCGATATTCGGATAGAAAAAAAAAACCCGACTCACAGTATCAATGCATTTAGAAAAATCCAAGTGTTCTCATGATAAACCTATTCTTTGAGAAGAATGTGACATTTGAGGGATACAAGGTGCCGTCCATTAGACGCTTAATAGGCTTCAGAGCTTTTTTTTTTTAATACGCAGGATTAACGACGTCATTACACAGCTAGAATGCTTCTGAGCGCCTAATAGATCCTGCCCTTTGTTGTATAATATGTACTTGGCGCAAGTCGCTGCGCCGTCGTCTCAAGATATTGCTATATTGCGTGAGGTACGTTATAAACGCTTGTTCGAGATGAAGCGTTGCGAGACGCTTTAGTCGATTTGGCTGCGACTTGGTTATGGCCTAGCTCGACGTGAAATCCATAATGTAATGGTACCAGCGTTCATCAGGCTATCATTAGCCTAAGCGTTCACCCCATCACATGTGCTGAGAGTACTCTATGAACGTGACTATGGCACGTGACTGATCAGCCAATGACCTCGTGTACTCGTTCGCGGAGGAGGTTATGTCAGGTTAGGTATGCCAGGACGCTATATCGAATGCGCGCGATAATTGTGAGAAAATATCGGAACTCACCGCTTGCGTCCATTTGGGAAAACCCCAGTGACTAGAAACAACAAGCCTGTGAGTGTGAAGCACACCATCGACCACTTTTCTATCTATTACATCCGCCCCAATGACTGATGGAACCATAGGATTTGGATATTTCCTCCATGCAGCTTGCGCTACCGTCTCCCAAGGATGACTGCAACAATGAAAATGATTTTCCAATATTATTACAGTTCCGCGGAATTTCGTACACGTCATTTTAGAAGAGCTGTCAAAAAATTGCTGATAAGAGATTATTCTTCCTCAAGAGATGCTTCTTTTTGTGGAATTCACTTTTAATCGAATATGATGCAATATTTTAATATCCTTACTGGATGTCTCCCAAATAGATTGCAATATAACATATATAACTCTATATATCATTAGTTAAAAAAAAATGGACGTGTGTGGTAAGTACTGACTGATACTGCGATAGGCTTCAGCGATAATGGGGTTATGTGCGGATGCCCTGTTTCATCATCCGACAGGTTACTTCATTCATAAAATGTACGATGAATGTAACAGGACACACAGCTGTGACCCCCGTTTCTAATTAGAATGGGACTTTATATTTGAAAGACTTGTAGATTTTAATTACGTTAAGTGATAAAAGGCACAAAGTGTAGCGAATACCAATCCGGAATGACACTTTTTGTACTCACTCGAAGATGTGCTCTGACGTCCAGATTTTCATGCTGTTGCGAAGAGAATATCGTCACTGCATGTAGATCGAGAACTATAATTTTATCGTGCGACACGTGCGCGGAACAAGCTGTCACGATTACGAGCGTTCGACGTACGCCGAGCAGTCTTTTAAAGTGTGATGTAAGGGAAAGAGGTTGGGACACGAGCGAACGCTCATTTTATCATGTCCACGAAATATCAGCTGTGCCGTTAACCAATAGCCGTCGCTCTACGCACAGCTTTTAACGTCATTGGTCGATCGAGAGTTGCGCGCCAATATGAAACGTCTCGAGTTTAACGATTTCACAATGTTAACGTGTAATATGCTGGAATCATTAGGATTTCCTTACAAAGCACTGACAAATGCACATATGTTATTAACAATGGTTAAACAAAAGTATTTGATAATTATATAACAATTTCTGTAACTTTAACTGAAGAGTATAGAGAAAATATTAATTATGCAATTATTAATACACGCAAAAGTATGTTTTCCCCTTGAAAAAGTTTACATCGTAACTGCTGAGGTAGAAGAGTCTTCTTTTGTAACTTGCCTTATTAGGTGGAACAATCTACGAGAGAAGAATAATAACGAGGTTTATGGTGGAATTCAGAAACATAACGGATGAATAAAATATCGAAGAGGACAAACCAAGGCTGTGTAGCTTTGTTGCTTCCCTTGAATCAAGTCTCATGTGCAATGGTATGTTGGGTTGAGGGCCTTTGCATTCCAAGATAATTTTTTCGGCTGCTTTTAACGCATTGTATACTGATCGAGACTTTGGTGCTTTTGCCAAATAAACAGTACATTGCCCTAAAAGTACGTCGCACTCGGGCATGCCAATCATTTGACACCCATGCATTGTATGGACAGCTATACCTAAATGTTCAAAACATTTTATTTATACACACTTGTATTCTTATGTGACAAGTATATTTCACTTCTTACCCAAGGCGTCTGGATCAGCTAGACCAATATCTTCGCTAGATATCCTAACTAGTCGCCTTGCAATGTTTACCGGATCCTCTTTGGCAGCCATAATTCTGGCCATCCAATATAGTGATGCATTTACTTTACCAGCTCTTATTGATTTATGAAGCGCAGAATATATGTGGTGACTCTGACTGCTTTCTTCATCAGAGAGCAGATGCGTTTGTATTAAATATTTTCTCACATCTTTTACAGTTATTTTGAAATCGTTGTTACATGATGTCCTTAATTTATCTGGTTCTTTTGCAAGTACTGCCAATTCTAACGTATTCAAAGCAACATGTGCATCACCATCGCATGCCTCCGATAACCACTGTAATGTTTCTTTGTCAATATGAAATTTAGAGTTTAAAGTAGGATAAAACATAGTATGGTCTCTGTGATTCTCCCCTCCTGTATCAAATACATTTTCATTTATATATCCTATTGCTTTATGAAGAATCTCCTTTATGTTAGATTCCATTAATTTATATAACATAAACACACGGCAGCGACTTAATAAGGCCGGATTCAAACTGTAGGATGGATTTTCAGTAGTACATCCAATTAAAGTAATTGTCCCTGCCTCTACATGTGGCAAGAATATATCTTGTTGAAGCTTGTTGAAACAATGAATCTTATCCATAATCACTACAGTCTTGTATCCAAATTTGGACTTATTTTGTGCAGTGGTAACGGCATCTCTTACATTTTTCACACCAGAGTTGGCTGCAGATAAGCGTACAATATGTATGTTATTACCCGTTGTTTCCTTACTCAAGCATTCTATTACATTGGTCAATGATGTCTAAAATATAAATTATATGTAATTATTATAACATAACGAGTATATTGGCAGTTTGGTAACAAATTTATTAGATAAAGGATTGGAAGTAGAAGCCACACGAATGGAATCTACCATATATTTTAATTTACTATATAACTTCATTCAAATGCACATAAACAGTTACAGAACTACAAATCATATCGCGTTCCTGTTATCAATCTGCTATAGATATTCTAAAAAATCTGTCTCAGCAAATCTGTGGTAGAAAGAAATTGCAATTTTACCTTTCCACACCCAGGTGGACCCCAAAATATCATACTGGGAATTTCTCTTTTTTCCAACAAGCGCCTTAGAACAGTACCTGGGCCAATTATTTGTTTTTGTCCAATATAATTTGCAATAGACATTGGCCTCATTTTTTCAGCAAGTGAAACACGTTTCTCACTTAATGTCTCTAATGGTATCTTTGAATGTTTCATAAAACCTTTAGATATAGACGAGCTTTCCATAATGTTTGGCACTTGATTGGTACGTGCTTTAAATTTTTTTATTTGGTTGCTCATCTCAGAATCTTCTTCAAAAGGAAACGACCTCTTAACTTTAATTTCTATGAGATTCGTTCTTTCTTCACTGCTACATTTTTTCTTATGCACAGGATACTGCATATCTATCTACTCAAGAACTTAATATGATTAATGAATACATTATATAGCTAAAAAAATAGATGAATTGATGTATCATTTACTTGATACCATATAAACTAATTATTTTATTTTTTCCAATAGAAAATTATTCTTTGGCGATTCAATGAGAGAATTTTAGAATATAAAACTTTGGTGAAATTCACTGAGATTCATTCCTTCCACAAATCAAATCTTGGGATAGTTGGATAAAAGTAAAGTTTGGTTAAGTACAAACGATGAATCGATGCTCGATTCTTCTCTCTTTCTTACACGATCGATTATCTTCTCGATATTTTTTAATTCGACCAGTTTCTATGTTAATATTTTTTTTCTTAATTAAATTACAAAATTTCGCTAAACTTGTCATACACATCGTGTATTTATATGCTATATACATATTTTGTTTGAATTGAAATCTGTCCACTGTTTATCGGGTCAAAACTGTTATTTCTCGTTGACAAAGAAAAAAAAGGTTTCCTTCATCCACTAGACAGATATTCTCGATCGTGCTAATGAAGAATAAAGGATTCGTTTTCTTTTTTTCGGTGGTAATACTATTTAAAAATAAAAATTCCGGCTGACCTGTTATTGACAGATCGCGCTACGACCTTAATCTATCTGTAGGTTTATTTTTTTATTGCTAAACTGGCTGCGCACTAACTTGCACTTATTCTCTTCTCCTCTCCCTTTCACCAACTCCTACATATATATCTATTTCTTTTTACGTTCTCTGAGTGTACACTAGTTCAGCGATAAGAAACAGATCTCTTATTGCACGAAATCTGATTAAAAGAGGCAAATGCTGCCATCTGTTGTAATATGAGCGTGCGCTAGACGCACGTCAATCTTCCGTGCTATAAAGCAGCATCATGTAAGGTACATTCGTCGCTCACGTCCTGACGGAACGGATTAACGAATTAACGCTGAGATTACACTCGCAACAGTAAGTTCCGTTGCATCAGGTATGTCTTGTTGTATCAACTGCGGTAAAACTATAGTTAGGCTGGGAACATTCGTAGAAGTTCGATGTTTCCGTAAGCAATGGCAATGGCGTCGCCGGCGAGCGAGGAGCAATACCGACGCGAGCAAGAAGCGTTCGTTTCCAATCATGGAGGAACGACGCCGCAGGAAATTATTTACACGCTTCTGCCGAACGTTTGCGGTGTCCTGTTGACTACGACGATTCTGGCAGTCTTTCGGGATTACACTCACAGGAACGTCCGAGTCGTCATAGAGTTCGTATTAACTGTTATCCCGAGTATCCTGTGCTGTACCATACTGTCGGGATACGTCGGCACCGTGTGCGTCGTAATGATATTAATTTCCGCAGCGAATATATCAGTGCTCGGAATTAAGGGAAAGGGAACCGTTCGTAAGGGAACCAATTTCCTCGGCTTACCTATGCGGCCGGTTACCGGCAAGAGACCCTTCATAACCAACTTTCGCGCGTTAACCAATATAATTACTGCAATTTGTATATTGGCCGTTGACTTCCGAATCTTCCCCCGGAAGTTCGCCAAAACAGAAGCGTTCGGACACAGTTTGATGGATACGGGCGTCGGGCTGTTTATATTTGCTAACGCGTTGGTCGCACCAGAGGCTCGTGATCTGTCTAGCCATCGTCAGGCGGGCTTCCGTGAAACTTTAACGAAAAATATGAAGAATTGCATTCAGAGTTGTCTGCCTCTGTTGTTGCTAGGGTTCGGACGTTTTGCGATTGTGGAGTGCATAGCGTATCAGAAACATGTCACCGAGTACGGAATTCATTGGAACTTTTTTCTAACGTTGGCTTTGGTGAAACTGTTCACTGGCATGATTACCAGTACCATCAACTCCGAGTATTCGCTGTTCTCAGGCATTTGGATATTAGGGATGCATGAGTACATTATGAGTACGACAGGCTTAAAGGCGTGGGTCTTGAGCAATGAGCCAAGAAACGACTTCTTTTCTGCCAATCGAGAGGGCCTAATTTCCATACCTGGTTATGTAGGATTGTACTTTATTAGCGTAGCCGTTGGCAGATTGATACATTCGACATATCGAAATGCAGAGAGAGAGTACACGTTACAGCATACTCACAAGGATGTTTCTGTGAAACTGTTTGGTTTCCAGTTGGACGCGAGCTACAACGAGTCTATGACGTTGTGCATTAAGTTATCTCTGATATCTGCACAAGCTTGTATCGCGACACTGTTCTGTGATATGTATTTCAACGTCTCAAGAAGACTAGCTAATGTCGGCTACTGTACGTGGATACTGACGTTAACGACTATTCTGCTTACTCTCCTGTTACTTGTAGAGATCGTGCTAGACATAACCGATTACGCGGCGAGCGAGTCACACGTTGAGAGCAAGACGGAGAGATTGCGTAGGTATTTCCGATTGAACCTAAAGAAATGTGTGGAAAGTAAGAGAGACGGGGACAAAGAGTGCGTGATCAGGAGAACCTTGGAGATCTTCGATGCCATCAATTACAACGGCCTATTTTTCTTCCTCCTCAGTAACCTTTTGACTGGTCTCGTTAATATGTCGATGTATACACTGTACGCGCAACAAACGGTGGCTCTATCGATATTAGTCGTATACATGGCTGTGAGTGTATCTTCAATATTGATACTTTATAGGCTACAGATATCGTTTAAACTGTAACATGTATATACGAAATTGTAACAATTTTATTCTGGTGGATTCACGACCTCTGGTTTATCTTCTCGATCGTACCAGATGCGCTATTCTTCCACGAGCACCGTTGTATGAAATGAAGAGGTGCTATTTTGCGATATTTGTAACCGGGGAAAGAAAGAAGCTGTTTCTCGTGCAGATTACATTCCATATCGCCGAGCAGATATATGTCTGTCGTGTGTGTATCACCAAGTATTACACAAAACATGATGTGAATTAAATATCATAAGAATTGTAAGAGAGAATACTGCCAAGTGCAACTCACACATATCAACGTTTATTACGTACTTGTTATTTATTAATTAAAATAAGTATGTACATTTTTCCTCTCGTATAAAAATAAGTAAAAGGAATGTTCCCGGTAACAAATTTACCTAGTACATGTTTAAATCACACCATCCATCGTTTTTTACTAGCGTATTTTGTAATCGCTCTTATTTAGTACCTAAATCACCGCTCATAATTCATCTTTGGACAATACACTCGACTTTTGTCGTAACCGAATTACTTCTTCCGTATTAGGAGTTCGTGTTGGTCCTGTGTCACTTGTCGATTTCGTTCCATTATGCTCTTCAGCATAAACATTGTCCTCGAGAAACTTCTTGAATGCATTATGATGCTTTACATGATTTCTCGCAAGCGACACGATTCTCAGGAATTCCTTGACGTCGAAGCTGTAGTTCGTGAATTTTGCATGAGCTCCGCCGTCAGGATGCGTCCCCTGTAAATTAATTGTAATGATAATGACGACGAGAATAGATTATGGTAACTTAACACAGTATGCTAATTTAACACGGTGTAGTAATAATAATTTCTCAGAAAGACATTGAACTCTGATTGAACAAGCGTACGTTCCAAGCGTCTCACGAAGAAGACGCTGCGGGGAAATCGTCGAAGAATCGCAGCTCACGGACGGTTCGAACTAGCCCAGGACATGCCCGATCGTTAGACAAAGTTTAGTTGACGAGCTTAATATGATTTTCGACCGTCAACTCTCAGGACTGTGCTCGTCTCTCGACGAGTTCTCGGCTCCAACCAAGAGGAGACCGAATATTAAGATGACAAATATTGTCGAATTGCAGATTGCTCTGGCAAAATGAACGTACCGGATCCTGCTGCACTAATTTCGATGAATTTTCCCACGTGAAGTATTTCACACCTCTCAGCCGTGCAAGATCCTTGTAGCAGTTGGGATCCTCGCAATTGTATCTGAGGATAATAATTCAAACGCATCGTATCGCGATATACGACATTTTGGAGATCGTAATTGATGAAGAAGACACATCGCAATCGCGAGAGTATACCATGTTTCTCAGGATAAATCAACATTTTGGAAAACAATAAGCAATATTTTTGAAGCGACTTACATCTCGAATACCGCCGCCCAATCTGGTAGGAACATCAAATGCGTCAGTCCAGCGCCATGCATGCCGATATAAATGTCGGAATTCTTCGTAATTTCCAACTGCTCTTTGAACGACACATTCTTATTGTACACCACCTGCGAAAACAGATTAATCGTAGGACAAATTACAGCGTAGCGTATTAGAGATTACTATCAGCTGTTTGCCTCGGTTGCCAAAGTTTTACCTTTCTAACTTCGTACTCCGGGTTTTCTCGCAAAGCTTTCACCAACTCATCCTCGTTCAAGATCTTTCTGTAGCGAGTGTCCCTGCTCAACAGTGTAACGTGGATCCTTCGATCCTTCCTTTGATGAAGAGGTATCCGAAGTCGGTGCAGCACATGATCGCCAAAGGCTTTGAACAATCCCGACTTTTCACAGCCATAAATCTAAAAAAAATATATATATATATACGTATATATAAACGCTCTTAATGAGTTATCTTTCTTCGGATATGGAGTATTCTTAGTGAAAGAATATACAATAGCAGTACAAGTGGCGTGTTATAATAAAGGCCGAATATCATTCGCGGCAACAAGGGAAACACTAGATTCCTGAAGCACACGATCTTGCCTCGGAAGGTTTTCAGGTCCCACAGTGGATTTCTCGTGAACACGTCGAAGGTGTCTTGGAACGCCGACCGATAACTGAAAGCAAATTATAGATATCTCGATATCTAACGGCTCGTGGGCTTCGTTTTACGTTCGTGTCAGTTACCTATAACTTTCCCAGATCATTATGTGATTGTCAGTGTCGAAGGCGGATGGGTGCGAGAGATTCACGTGCAATGATGCGTACAAGTTGAAGAAGTCGCAAAAGTGATGATACATATTTACTACTAAAAACAAAGCGCGACTTTAACAGGGTGACGAGCGTGGATCGCGACTTGTTCGGAAGAATCTCTTTGGCAAACGTCCGCTAACTCACTGGCATCTATCTTCATGATGAACGTGGGCTTCTCGATGACCACGTCGCAATCGCCATGGATGATTGGCCGACGGGTCAGTTTGCGGAAGTATCGCAGTTCGGGTCCCCACGATTGCAGCGGGCTGATGTGATCCGCATTTTCCTGCAGTCTCCTTTCGTTCAGCCTGATCGCAGAAGAGAGAGTTAGACACTTTCGAATTTCTCGCGCAGCTGATTTGCTCTGCTCGCTCTGATATTCACTTACGTGCAGTAGCCGCCTATTTGACCTTCTTTTAACACGTCCATTTTATAACGTATAGGTTCCTTCCGATCCAACAGATCCGTGAAGTTCAGCATTATATTTCTCGCCCTGCAGAACCTCATATGCTCCGAACACTCCAACGATGAATCCTCCTGAAGAATCGAGCACGAAGAATTGAACGAAGCAGGATCGACACAATTTGTGCGCAAAATATGAATGCAAGAGACGGTAGAAACAGATATACGCGAAAAATCCGATCGGACTTTCGTTCGAGCTACTTGATTTTTATTTCCATTCCACATGCGATTTCGGATTCCCATTACGATGCGGTGAGCTTACCACGAATAACGGTTCGCACAATAGCATCATCTCTTTCCTCTGATCCCGTACGTATCCAAAGTCGCCTTGCGCGTAATATGTATCCTGTTGAGCCTTTTTCGTCGTGACCCATCCTTTGTGATCGCCTGGACAGTGCGGAATGGAAAAAGAATTTTCCGCTTTGCAATCTTGCTCGTAGCCCCAACAGGCTTTGGTATCGACGATATTCTGAAATATATGGAAGAATTAACCAACAAGTGGACGAATAAATGAATGAAGAATTTATTTATGTGCATTTATTTGCATTCGTTTGCCAGATGTTAGGAATGCATTTATTTATTAAAAGGCTTTCCCAGGGAAAGTTTTTCCGGAATAAAATGTACGATATACTGCATATATTCGTAAATATTCCATAAAAGGTACACGAAAGAATTGTACATAAAATATCTAGAAAAATACGTAAGTAAAGTATATAACGCAAATCGACGCTCCATAATTCAATTCGAGAGTGAAACATCGTCGGAAATATATTCAGAGAAGCGACCTGGCAGATGTGTTTAGAGAAGCAACATTCAAAAATAAAGAGCGAGGATAGTGGCGCGAGTTTGAGCGTAATTCATTGGGACGTATTAATAGTTTGTTTTATCGTAAATACATAGAACGTATAGAAGATTTAGTCTGAATTATCATGAAATAAAAAGAAAAGAAAATGCCAAAAATTTAACAATCGAGAGAAATTGTAAAAGAATCTCCCCTGTAACAAAAATGCAAATACAAGTTTGATCCTAGATCAATTGTCCAAGAAAGTTGCTCTCTCGCCGAGCTTATGAATAAAAATTTTGCACAATGTCTGTATTAAAAAAAAAAAAAAAAAGTGAAAGTCCAGAAAGGAAAATTAAAAACGAATCTTACCTTATATGGACACGCCGCATCGTTGCGGCACTTTTCTGCTACCGTGGGAAAAGAATTGAGATAGCACTTGACGTGATCATGCGGTAGATTAATGTCTATGTAATTGCCGCCAATGGCAGTGGCCGTGAGTACAAACACCAATGATACAGGATGAACCGCAAGCAACGTCCTCATGATCATTGTGTGAGATAAAAGCACCGAAACGGACTATTTCGAGGCGTTCGTCCTCAACTACGAGTCGCACAATGTGAATGAAAAACCAACCGCCTGTGAAGGTGGGTGTATGACCTCATCTACTGTATTCCGTCACAACTACACGCGCCCGGGCACCTACACGTGGAAGTCACTCGTGAAGGAGAAGTGAGAGGTGAGATGCTGAAGATGTGTAAGATATGAGTCAGCTTACATCATAGAAATTGCACTGGCTTGCCTTGAGGAAACCCACGGAGAAGCTTTGATATTCGCTTATATTCTCTAGTAAATAATATACCGGCGTTCTCGCGCTGTCTCTGTGTTGGTCTGATCGATAATGCAGCACCGTCTGGGAATGGAGCACGCGAGGATACAAGATAACTCTTGTTGGATTTGCGGTCGCGAACGAGCTTACTCACTTTAATCGTAGTTCCCTAATGAGAAGCATCAAAGCCGACTTGTCTGTCGTGCACAGAAGACGAGAGAGAGAGAGAGAGAGAGAGAGAGAGAGAGTTTCTCGTTTCTGCATCTGATTATGTCTCTTACGCCGTCAGCTGTGTATAATCATGTCGCATGTTCCCAACATGGCTGTACGCACTGTCACTGTCAAGGATATCTTATCTGTGAGCACAAACACACCGAATGGTATCTTCGCGGCGATTAAAATAGTCGTACTGGAACGAATCGTCGAGATTCGGCGTATCCCACGGCACTTTCCAGGCTTACTACCTGACGCAACGCAACGAGTCCACCGTCTGCAGGTCGTAGTTTGAATCTTCGAACCGTAACGCTTTGCTGGCTTTGTGTTGTGGCACGTGAGAAAGTAGTCTTGGCTGGTTTGGGTCCATCTATAGGTTACCTCCCATTACATGGCCCACATGGGAAACCCTGTGATCTACGGAGTGTCGATAAAGCAGGAAAAATGAAATAATCGTTACCTTGTGTCGATATGTTAGCTCCTATCGATGTGCTACCTTGCATCGACATTTATTCTTTATTCCTGTATTATCTGTGACTAATAAGAGAGAGGATAGAAGTTGGTAACATAAAAAAAATTTGTAAAGAAATAAAATTTCGGTTCGCATTTATAATATTAGTAATACTAAAATGTCGGAAATTTAATTTCTTTACCTTTTCAACCCGTATAATCCGTTAAATATTCAAGTACGGATCTAAGAAAATGTTGAGAATTCCGAGAAAGAAATTTTTGTCGGTGAAGCTGTTGACGCGCAACATGATTTTTTTTTTCAAATCGACGCGACATTTCGACGCGAGTGCCAAATTTAATAGTTTTGCAATTGCATATTTTTCATTGTCCTTACAAATATCAACTAACGTCACAAACAGCTAACGGCGACAAGTTTCTTAAAAATATTACCTTCTCGACCATCCTTATTTATCAATACGTTTCTATCGCGGAGCTTTTTGCCAAGATATAGAAATCATCATTCTGTAATCAACGGAACGAATACAAAGAAGCTTCGCCAGAAGCCAGGATCATTGTTTAATTTCGAGCAACGACCTCCGTTATCCGCCCAATTCTTACGTTTCTTACGTAAAGCGAAAGCAGGCTCTCGATACGCCGACGAAACGCACCTTATGCTAATCCCCGCGGGATACGTCAAAAACGATTTCGAACGTATACGGAAGAGACAGTTCGATCCTCCTCTCTAGGCGTGGCTGCGGCTGAGATCCTATCTTCTGTGTTTATACGATTTTGCTCGCCAGAGAGAGGTACGATTTGAATCTAAGGGTCGCCGCATTCGCCGGCGCTCGAACACACCGGCGTTCGAGTCCCACACTCCGCTAGGCATAAAGGTCCTTACGTAATCTGGAAGACTCGGATATCAGCTGCGGTTCTCGTTAGTCCCGCAGGTGTCTTTCTCGGTTCACGGGAGATCGTTGCGATGCAATTAAAGCTACGTCCGCGCGACGGCGAAAGGAGCACGGATTCAAATCTGCGGAACTTATCAGCTCCGCCACAGAGACACCCATTGTTCCCTTTTCTCTGCTGCTCGTCGACGTCGCTGCCGACTCGGATTAACGGACACCCTCCTTGCGCATTGCGCAAGCGAGCCTTAAACGTTCCGTCGCGCAATAGTCCGGGTGCACGGCTTGACTATTGAAATATTGTGGCACGATGAGTCCTCTCTCTCTCTCTCTCTCTCTCTCTCTCTCTCTCTCTCTCTCTCTCTCTCTCTCTCTCTCTCTCATTTTCCTCTTTCCTTCTCCTACGTGTGATCTCGATCTCGTTTGACCGCGGGCGAGCGACCAGCTGACTGCGACCGGCGCGATCAGACGCGAAACGGAGGATCGTCCTCGCCACTATCCGCCTTACGTATTCGAGTAAATCGGCATCGGGTCCCGCGGGCCAATCACGATGATCCACAAATCAATGCTAATCGATGCGAGAGGATCGAGATACAGCGGAGAGCAGCATCGGGACAATAGCGTCGATATCTTCGGCGTCAACCTGCCGTAGCGTGACCCGGAAATGGATCCCTCCTCGTTGTACGCGCGCGCGCGCGCGCGCTAGTTTTGTGTATTTATATTGTATGTATAACTTATTCGCGCGTGGATATGTGTGTGTGTGTGTGTGTGTGTGTGTGTGTGTGTGTGTGTGTGTGTGTGTGTGTGTGTGTGTGTGTGTGTGCACGAGAAGGTTCCCCGCTATCTGTGTACGTAAAAGCACGTAGTTTATCGGTATATGTAGATTGCTCGGCCGACTCTGGTAAGGACACACCGGCTTGCCCGAGCACGGATTGCCGCGGCAGATAGATCGAAAGAACGATCTACATCGATCACGATCGCATCACCCCGACCCTCAACCCGGTGCGGTCGCAACGGTACCTTGTGCTCGCTATTTATACCGTTGCGCTCAACTTTATTTCTGCCTGCGGATCTTTTGTCGTCGCGGCTCCCGCGGATGCTCTCTCTCTCTCTCTCTCTCTCTTTTTTGCCGCCGACGTCAATTTTCACGAAGAGCTACCCTTCGCGTTTGCTCCCAATTTGACCGCTGAAAAGATCGCACGCGCGCACGCGCGCTTATAAATATCTGTATAAATTACCTGTGAGAATCGGATTTGCAATGAAAAAGTGTTTCCACGACTGGATCGGTGAAGGAAGTTTTGCATTGATTGTGGGAAATTTTTCGCTGCAAAATCCGCAGTGAGCGTAAATCCGACATGCTTTCTCCCAGCGAGATTCTAGCGACATAGGCGCGTGTTTTACGACGCTCGTAAATCGAGTCATCGGCTATAAGTGCAACACCTCCGTCGACTGCACCTCCAAAGAGTACGTCAGCACGCCAGATTGAGAGAGCGGGGAAAAAGAAACACGAGCGACGTATGCAAATGCAATTAAACGTAGCGAGCTCATTGTCGCGTCGCGGAGGTATCGGAAAACATGCGATCCGCGAATAAAACCGGTTTACAACCCTGAAACGAGCGGCGCTATTAAAGCTGGCGTATACACGCGGTTATGACCATTGAGAGCGCTGATTACCGTCGTTTGAGTCGTCACGGCGATCGTTTTACCATGTATATCCGCGCACGCAGCGCAGCGCCCATAAACGTGGGTTCTCTCCCTCGGCGTCGCGCGGCCGGTGACGTATCGCGCGCCAGATTGATTTCGTGACGCGTGACTTTGCGCAACGTTTGATAAACTGGAGCCGAGCGTTTCCGCAGAAACGCATGCGGCGTGCGCACGCGCGTTAATACGAGCGCCGTGACATCGGCGTAACCGTCGAACCGTCGCCGCCGCGTTGGCGCCACGTGTCACCGCGGCGGTCGCCGGCCGGTGTCAACCTACGCGAAAATCAACGCTATAATGTTCTCCCCATAGAGACCTCGCGCTGTTCCTCCCGTCGCCGTCGCCGTCGCCGTCGCCGTCGCCGTCGTCGTCGTCGTCGTCGTCGTCGTCGTCGTCGGAGAAAATCGCGGGGGCGAATCGCGTCGCATTGCGGCTCGCAAAAGCGCGACGCGCCTTGCGAAACGAGAACGCGCCGCGGGTCACCCACGCGACGGAAAAAAGCCCGCCGCGACGAACGCAAGTACCCCCCGGATGTTGCAATGCCCTCGGCAAGGGCATGCCGGAAAGAAGTGCACAGGCCGCGATAGTTATGGGAAAAGGTTTCGCGCGCGCGTGCGCGCGCGCATCGACCTGCGCGAAACGTAAAGCGCCGTATATTCTTCCGCGGATCTACCTGCGTCTTTTCTCTCCGCCACCCACGTGCTCATTTGAATACGTATCCAGGCGTAAAGTATGGCGATTGTCGTCTTTCCCTGGCGGACAGAATCGCGAGTTATCGAAAGACAATGCTCTCTCTCTCTCTCTCTCTCTCTCTCTCTCTCTCTCTCTCTCTCTCTCTCTCTCTCTCTCACACGCGTCGGGCCTCGGACGTTACGTCGCGCGCTCGCGCGCGCCGCTTGACGAGTTGCGCGGAGGTGACTTATTACCGCCGACGCGCGACGGTGATTACGGCGTGTACGTCGTCGATCAAGCCGAATCAACCGAGTGTTGAGCGTTCGCGCGGGATCGTTGACGCGGCCAAACGTGAGAGACGGAAAGCGTGGAAAATCGACCAACGAGCGAATGTAAATCAATGTAAATCAAGCAGCGGCTCGAACGTGCTCCGATGAGTGTGCCGCGCTGGCTCTCTCTCTCTCTGTCTCTCTCTCTCTCTCTCTCTCTCTCTCTCTCTGTTCCTCTCGATTTCTGTCCGCCGACAGACGATAGGAGATAACAAGTTATTTCTCGGGGATCAATAAACCGTGATTGGATCCGCCAGCGTTTCGAATTATGCACGCTCGAATTCCGGCGAGTCTAAGCCGACCGGCGCTACGAAATTGCCCGACGGCGCTCGCGCCGAAGAAAGCCCGTCCGTCTCGCACACCGGCTTCCTCGTTAGCGACTCCAGACTAATCGCTTAATTAATAGATGATAAATGTTTGCAATTCCAGCGCGGCGAGGCACGCAGATCTCGGCGCGTACCTCGTTACCGGGCCCAATTAATTACGATGCGGGGCGATTAAATGCGCGAAGCCGCGTCGTCGATCCGCCGCGCAACAACGAGACGTTTCGTTTCTCCGTGTCTCCCGCCGTTCCTCCTCGCCGTTCCACCTCGGCAGGGAGAGGTCCTCCTCGAATTTTCTTCGTGACTCGGCGCGCAGGATTTATTTCCACGTGTCGGCGGGGTCACCGGGTCACCGCGGTTCCTGATGTCGCGAGCGTGCAAGTAACGCGCGAAGCTTAAAATATAGCATGAGGGCCGGCGAAGTGGGTTTAAGGTTTCGCCCATAGGGACCTTTAATTCAGGAACTACTACTTTCGAAAGAGCGCGCGGCAACAAATAACTCGCGCCCGACGTCGGAGTGTACCGAACGTTAGCCTTCTTCTCTCGCGTTAATTCGATACGAAGAAAAAAAAAGAAAAAAAAAAGAGGGGAGAGGCAAAACGGAAGAGAAGGCGCGCAAGTGGGACAAGTTTTTTACATAGCGAGCGTCATTTCACTTCGCGCTCGCGTACGCGACAATGTCAATTTTCTCACGAGAACTTCTCGCGCACGCGCGCACGCGCGCACGATGGCCGCGCGTGACATCCAAGTCGGAATTTCGTCGGGAATGTCGTTGGCCGTCGGACAAGGTGTCCTCGACAACGCGGACGATGACAAAGCGCAACTGCCCGTTAAATTCCGTGTGTGCCGCGTTTCGAGGTAAAGAAAAGTCACCTTCGGACTGTCGTGCCGTTAGTCGCGCGCGCGAGAGCGCGATCGTAAAACGGGAGTTAGTAATTGGAAATATTAATGAGATGCCACACGCACACGCACAACACACACACACACACA